CTAGCCTGTCCAATTACTACGTATCTACGCAGCTCAAAGAATACGAGCTGCCCCTTATGATTGGCTCGGTCCTCTGTCGTCCAATGGAAACCTTCCTTGGCACTAAAGTTGACAGGGGGCTCAGAAACCGCAGCGCAGGGCCAAGAGACGGTCATACTTGATGCCGCCGGGGATTTCCGTCAGCCCTCGCCGGACTTTGCACCTGACATGTAGGCATCCCTTTTCTAGGGTCAAGCATCATTGTGCAAATCCGCTTTCGACCAATTTCCAGTCAGCTTGCATGACTAGAAGGTCGAGGCAGCCCGTCCGAGAAGACATCGCGTCGGCCGTTGAATGGAAGTTGACCTCTTTGTTCAGCGAACTTCTCATAAATACGAGGCTCTCGCCGTAATCTTCGATATTGGAACGACACATCGAAGATCAGAGACCAATAGCCTAATCCAATCATGAACAACCTGTCGTTTACCCAAGCCATGCCACAGGGGAATCAAGCTTCAGCTTACATCGAAGGAGCTCGACAAAGCCGCATCCTCCCGCTGCTCCCGCACCCTAGCACTATCCATCCCACCAATCAAGACCTGGAAGTCTCAATCAACGGCACTGGCGACGCTGCCCATCTTAGAAGGAAACGTGCTAGTCGTCCCAAGGTGCGATCAGGCTGCATCACCTGCAAGATCCGGCGTGTCAAGTGTGATGAACGCAAGCCCACGTGTTTCCGATGCGAGAAAGCCGATGTGGAATGCGACGGATACACCAAAGAAGACGCCGATTCCAAGAGGAGCGCCGAGCAACGAAGGTTGGCCGTCGCAGCCCAGGAAGCACAAGCGAGCCGGCAGCTTCTTCCGCGGCCGAACGAGTCGGGTCCGGTCGCCTCCGGTCAAGAAATAGCGGTGCGGGTACACTTACCACCGCCGCTTTGCCCCTCGACTTTGCGGGTCAACCAGGAGGATGTTCACTACTACGATCTCTTCCGACACCGGCTTGTGCGTGACCTTTGGGGGTCTGGCCATTCTGATGCTTGGTCTAGAATCGTCTTACAGGAGAGCTCCCAAGACCCATGCGTTCAAGAGTCTCTCTTGGCTATCGGTGCTATATCTCAAGCCCAGATGGTTGAGGAGATGTCAAAGGACCAGCTGGATGCCATGCCATCGGCACTTCGCCCTTGGGGTACCAAGATGGCGCCATCTGGTGGGCTTCTCAACCACCATCATAGGTCGGCTTTACTTCATCATGTCAGAGCGGTTTCGATATACAGACAGCGAATTCAGGACCCATCCTCGACATCACCACGATCAGTCATAATCATGACTCTATTGCTCGTTGGGTTCGAGTTCATCCAAGGCAACATGAACAATGTGGACACTCTGACTAGCACCGGGATGCGTCTTCTTGAGAACAAAATCTCGCTTACGCAGCGTCCGCCACGTCGTGCAAATGAAAATGGAGCCACCTCGATGAAACCTTCACAGTCCGTGGCTACCCAACTGCGGAGAGGCGTGCGGGACGATGAGATGGAGGATATTGAGCACCTCTTGCCATGCCTCTCCCTCATGAGCGGCTTCACCCACTTCTTCAACTCCCACCGCACTGCGATGCCAATGATGAACGGCACTCCGATCCTCGAGCTGCCTGAACCAGGTGTTACAGTAGTTGCCAAGCTCGAAGTCTTCTGGGGTCAATTCTTTACTCGCGCAGTCGTACACATCATGCGCTGTCTGCACGACCAGCTTCGATACAAGCAGCGCAATATTACACAGGCTGCATTGGAGCAAGCTACGTTCCTGTCATACATACGAATGTGGGATTCCGTCCTAGAAGTATACCTCAAAGACCCTTCTCTTGAGGACAACGCAAGACGAGCTCTACGAAAGATACAGATCCATCGGCTCTTAATCCACATCGTCATCAGTTGCGGTCTTGACCGGACTGATATGTGCTACGACGCATTTGAGGCCGACTTCAGGGACCTCTTGAACAGGATTGTGACGTACATGCGTGACCCAGGACCGATCTCAAAGGTCGGCTTCACCTTCTCAGAAGGCCTCACACCTCCGCTCGCCACCATCGTCGCCAAGTGTCGCAATCACGAGCTGAGAATGCAAGCTGTCCACCTCCTCAACACCATGGCATGGAGGGAAAGCGCCTGGGATGGGAAAGCGCTCGTCATTGGCAAGTCTGGCGTGGTGATGTTGGAGGAAAGAGGGATGGATGCCAATGGGTTCATACCGTCTGGGTCGAGATGGGTTTGGATGTCAGGTAAGTGGGATCTCGAGAAGCGCGAGCTTGTCGCCACGTACTTGAGACTGATGCCGAATGAGGACGGCTCTCCGGTTTATGCTCACTTGGAGCTTGACATGGATAACTTGCTGGATACGTGTAGCATGGTGGGATGCCACGGACATCATGATCCTTTCGAGTGCTATCAAGAGTGACAGAGTAGCTTCCGCTTCTAGATTATTCTCATACATCCTCCCAGAAGTAAGGTAGACGCATTCTGATATGCACACCAGATATCGAAAGGAATAATGTTTATCCTAGAACCAGACGGGCTAGGCCTTATCATCCATTTACATGTGTTTCATCGGCTGAGAAGGCACACCACCTTGTTCTATCCAGATGGATTCGAGTCTCCTTCTAATCCGGTCATGGGCTGACGGTAACCGCTCAAAACATACGGAGTACACGTATTGCTATGGCCTTCCTGTATAGGAATGGTGTCCTAAGCGACCGTTGAGCACGCCATGACCAGCTGCCACTTTGTCTTGGCAACTTGGCGAATGCTTAAACGTGCAGAAGGGAGGGAGCCAAGCCGAGAGGCTCTCAAAAAAGAGCGACTGCATCTCGTCCATGCAGTCTGTAAAATCGCTGTAGGAAGAGAACTATGTGCACGCGCAATGAGTTACACGGATGTTGTCATCGATGAACTGAAGCATTGACTAGGTGCTTAGACAAGTTTCCAGAGCTATTGAGAGCTATTTTACACCACCACACCATGCGAAGAGAACAACTGTAGTCGTCGTAAATGTTGCCCAACGAGAAAGACTCTTCCTATAGACAGCAGGTGGAGTGACCGGTTTCGCCATAGCGCGCCTTCGAGCCAAAGAAGTAAGCAGGCATGTTCATCTCAGGAAGGTGTTGAAACACCCAGAAAGCCTCGGTTCCGCCCCTTTTGTAGTCTCGGCCCATCTCACTACTTCCAATTGGTTATGGCGAGCTAGGACTTTTGTCATCTCGCAGAAACAGCAGCCCGAGAGATAAGTAATTTGCTTCGTTGTTCAAACCCAGAAACTTCGCACCCTTTCCGCTGTGGACGTGGTACCAGTAATATGCCAAGCCTTCTCCACGCCGATGGTCGGCATTGAAATGCAATTACGGATACAGAACTGCGTGATGGGATGATTACTCGTGCCACAGAATGTTCAGTGCACTGGGGCTTCCCCAAGTCTCCATTGTAACCTCAGAGCCCGAACTACCGCAGGGTTCAGTCTAGACCCGGTACATAGCATCGGAATAGGAAGGTCGTCGTAGAACGCGTCAAGTAGATTGCCAACGGCGGTGCTTTTTCTGCGCGCCCAGCCGCCAAAAAGTGCCGGGTGCCGTACAACGGGAAATCGCCCAACACTTTATAGCCTTCGAAATGATGATCAATACGGGTGAAAAGAGGAAAGGCTCTGAGCTTTGGGTGTCAAGTCTTTCGACAGCTTGGAAAGCTCGCGATCCCCGAATAGGAATGTCAATAATAAGGTCCCAAATGGTCTGTTTGATCCGCTTCCTTTACCCCGCAGAGAGTGCCATCCTACGGGCCATCGATCGACCACATAAGCTTCCCGCCTCCAGCCCTGTCTCGACCCCTGGTGCGATAACTCTATCAAGGCACATATCCGTCGACTTTTCCGGGAGGAATACGAACAGACACAAGTCGGGATTGGTCGGCTAACTGGATGAGCCGCTTTTGCCCCTGCCATACGCGGGTATTCACGATTTCGCATACCATGCAGTTCATTTTCAGCAGGACGGCCAAGTACTGACCTCATACTTATCGTCGAAACGCTTGCAAAAATACAAATAAGCGCCGGGGAGCCTTCCACCACATTCACTAAGAGTTTACCTCCTTCCCAAGCTGGTAAGAGGCTCGTCTACCATTGCCATGAGTATATTGAGTCTCAAAGACTGACCGGTTCTAGATGCCTATCTTACTTTAGTCTCCAGTAAAGACAAGGGGCCACTTACCCGCCGGCGTTCGCCGCCTCCCCGAGTCTCCCGGTCAAATAAAGACTGTATGTAGGCATCATGCTGCTTCGATTAGATACCGAGACTAGCAAAAGCTAGTTGCCGTTATGGTTGTTTGATTCAAGCTTGAACTCACGTCCCTAGCGCGGTCTCTGGCGACAGGAGTTGTGGAGTGAGCTCCGGATGCGGCGACATGCCAAGAGCTTTAATGGAACGTCCTTCCCCAGATTGCTTCGCATTCAGACAAGACTTCGACCGTTTCTCTTTACCCACCGATCCAGCTCAAGCATGGGGACATGCGGCAAGGTCGATAGAGTTGCCATCTTGGCCATCTTGGCTTTCTTGGCATCCCACATCGTCGTCGGGTCCTGCAAACTCGCCCTCGTTCCTTCTTTTGCCTTCCTATCCTCGCTAACCTCCGGTGACCTCGCTGCGTTAGACTCGCTTAGCCCCTCATATCGACGAAAGAGAATGTAGCCACCTTCTTTATCACATTCCCAATCTGTCGCTCTTCCCGGCTTGGCAGACACCGGAAAGCGCTTGTCAATGATGATCAAGGCCATTAGAGGCGGAACACGGAAGGAAAGCTTATCAGCAAGCCATGGTTGAATGAGGGATGATACTTGACTAGCAGTTGAATATGGCTTCATTCGAGTATATAAACTCCTCGTGAGAACCTTGATGGCCAACCTCCTGCTCCTCATCCCTCACCAGCATCGGCAAGATCAACCCAGCATTACCTTCCTCGCCTTCTTTGTCCAACCTTCACCATGAAGTTCCTCACCGGCCTCTCCTGCTTCGCTGCTGTTGCCAGCGCCGTTGTCGTCGATCTCAACAAGCGCGACAGCCCCCTCGATGTCAAGATCGAGTCCACTGGCAACACCGCCATCAAGGCAAGCATCACCAACACCGGTGCCTCTGACCTCAAGGTCCTGAAGGCTGGTTCCATTCTCGACAAGCTCGCTATCGAGAAGGCTGAGGTCTTTGCTGGCTGTAAGTGCATTCTTATGAATATCACAATGATCCAATCTTGGCCACTAACAAACCTCATCAATAGCCGACAAGGTCGAGTTCGACGGTATCCGCCTTCGTCTCGGCACCAACGGCCTTCCCGAGGATGCCTTCCAGGTCATCTCCGCCGGCGAGACCGTCTCTGTCGAGTGGAACTACGGTGAAGTCCACGACCTCAGCGTCGGTGGCAAGGTTGATGTCGCCGCCAAGGGCGCTCTCTCCATCGCCGAGGTCGGCAGCAACGACATCACCAGCACCGCCCCCTTCAGCTCAAACGTCCTGAGCGTCGAGGTTGACGGCGCCGCCGCCTCCAAGGTCCGCCGCGACTTCCGCGAGAACGTCAAGCGCACCGTCGTCCAGTCCGACTGCACCGGCACCCAGCGCACCGCTACCACCACCGCTCTCTCCAACTGCCGTGCCCTCGCTGCCGCTGCTTCCTCCGCCGCCTCCACTGGCGCCGCTGCCAAGATGGTCGAGTACTTCAAGTCCTCTTCCACCGCTACCCGTACTACCGTCGCTGGCGTCTTTGCCAAGGTCGCCACCGAGTGCGGCAGCACCACCTCTGGTGTCTCCAAGCAGTACTGCACCGATATCTACCCTGCTTGCTCTTCCGGTGTCATCGCCTACACTCTTCCCTCCGCTTCCTACATGGTCAACTGTAAGTACCGCTGCCCTCACGACAAGACATGGCATATCGTTTTTGGTGACTCATCTGACGAAACTCCCCGCGCCACAGGCCCCTACTTCTTCAACAGCCTTACCGCTCTCTCCAGCACCTGCCACGCTCAGGACCGTGCCACCACTGCCGTAAGTTATGCTCCAGGATAAAAGTTACTACTGGCTCAATCACTAACTCGATTTCCGTCAGCTCCACGAGGTCACCCACTTGACCCAGATCAAGGGCACCACCGACCAGAGCTCCTGCTACGGTTACAGCTGTGTCCAGAGCTTGACCGCTGCCCAGAACCTGAACCACGCCGACACCTACGCCCGTAAGTCTCTCTCGCTCTCTCTTTTTGCGTTGCACGTGCTTACCACTCTCATGTCACAGTCTTCGCCAACGCCATCTACGTCGGCTGCTAAGCGTTTCGCGTCAAGATGGAACAATTCTTTGGGGAGCAGTGTAAGAACTCGGGCATGTCGACTTTCGGGATCAGATAACAGCTGCGCCGGAAAATGTTGCATGGCAGAATACCTAAGTCGTTTGTGACCATACTCCGAGGGCCACAACTTAGCATTCTCATACATATTCAAAACGTAGAAATGATAAAGCAAGAGTGTTTGGAGTGTTTTCGCCGTGATCTGCGTACCAGACGGCCCATATCGTGTGGAACCTGATGTGCCAAAAATTTCAAAAATGAGACCTCAATGAGTTAATGGATTCTAACCATCGTTACTCCCCGAGGTGGGCTCGAACCACCAACCTCCAGATTAACAGTCTGACGCGCTAGCCAATTGTGCCATCGGGGATATTGAGATGCTTCTCGATGATGTTGGCGGACTCGCGGTTTGATTATGATCCTAAGCCTCAAGTGGTGGGTTGCTTGTGGGACATTCGAAGCCCTACAAGCAGAAGCGAGTGTCTTTCGACCCAATGACAGCGGCACAAGACCACCGCGTCCCACACTTGGCAGCACTTGCAGAACGTTGCGGTCCACGCCCCGGTCGATTTACTGCAATCTCTTGACTAAGAGTTGATTTGATATGGGGCTCGCGGAACTCGTGAATTTGTAATTGAAAAGACGATAGTGTAGTTGAACAGAGTTTATGTCACTGAAAACTTACTAATTGAGTGCAGTATGCACTCAACAATGAATCTCAGGGTGGGGTTGAGTCAGCATAGAAGGGCCGTCCCGTGCGTGACAGCTATATCCGTATAATTCCCCATGGCTCGGACACTGCACTTTGTCGAATTTACTAAGCCCATGACGTTCCGTTAGCACGATATGCCCCGAGAGAAGTGCTTACAAATGACGAAATCCACGGTGGCTGCTTGTCTGAGATCAATGCCATGAACCAATTTATTAATCTCAATGATCATTTGGTGAGCCCCTCGGATTATCCGTCAACTCCCGATATTAAGACAGAAGTGAGTCTTGTAACTCGTACCGGTCCAGAATCTTGGCAAGCAGGAAAGATCCTGGCCACAGTTTTACAAGAATGAGACCGGACTACGCCTAGGTTTATCTCACTTTCGCTTTGGCATTCCATCAACGATAAACAAAACCAATCCTTACCATGACTGAATCTCATAATATCCTTATCACGGGTGCGTCAGGCTACCTCGGGGGAACTTTACTTGCTCGTTGGGCAAGCGCCAGCCTCACGGGCTACGATAAGCTGTTCGCACTCGTTCGAACAGACGCTCAGCGGGAGCAAGTAAAGCAATACGGGGCCGAGCCTCTTACTTTTTCTCCTCGAGATGAGCAGACAGTCCGAAATGTAGTGATACAGAATCGTATCACCATTGTCTTTTACTTGATTGATGCTTTCGAATCTGTGGGCCAAGAAAACTTCATCAAAGCTTTGGGCGAAGTGAAGTCTCAGACGGGTCTAGACGTTCACTTGCTTCACGTGTGTACACCGCGTCAATGGCCCCGCTCACAATTCAGTGGAAATCGGCTAACACGTGGTTTTGCTTCTCTAGACATCGGGAGCCAAGATCTTTTCGGGTCTTGCAGGTGCCCCCACGGATAGTCCGCTCTTGGACACTGACCCCAGGCTATATGAAATCCAGAAAGCTCAAAAACCTCCCATTTCTTTCATGCACAAAGTTAGTTCGCAGTATGGCCCTCGGTTATCGTCAAGCCATGCTAATTGTACGATGTACTCAAGCCTGTTGAGACGAATACCCGAGTTATTGACCTAGCACAAGCCAACGGTGTGAAGTCTTATGTATTTACTCCCTGCATAGTCTGTAAGCCTTGTATCCCATCAAATCACCCTGTCAATTGTTTCCCCTCTGACTTCATGATACAGATGGAAGGGGAGAAGGATTTGGCAATCCTATTTCCATCCAAACCGTCGACATTGTCAAAGCCGCTAGGGCGGCTGGTCAAGTTCACTCAGTCACACCTGGTCGGCCAGTAAGTGATGAATCTCTCCTCAGAAATGTTGACAAAAGCTTACCTCATCTTGAGACTTGGCCTGTCTGCCACGTCATTGATAACACGTCCCTTTACCTTCAAATTCTGCGCTCAATTTTGAACGGAGAAAAGCCAGAATACGGGAAGAACGGCTACTATCTCGCAGCTTCCGGTAGCGTTACCTGGGATGACCTGTATGAGGCGATGGCCAAGGCACTTAAGGTCCGAAACGTCATTACAGATGAACGTGTCGTTCCCGCAGACGAAACGGCGCTTGGCAAGATGGCTCACGGGTTAGGCACGGAGAGCTCTCTCGTCCAAATGAGATTGGCTGGAAAGTGAGTGAATCCCAAGTTGTGTAACGTGCATGATCATGGACCAGCAGTCTGTTGAGCAGAGCTAACGTTGGCTATTTGAACCTAGGTGTACCTTCACAGCCAAGCACGGTGCTCAACTTGGATGGAAACCGCAATTTCCCCCGGAACATATCCTTGAAGCTGCTGATGATGAGGTCGAGCTTATTCTACAAACGCTCCGTAGCGATGCAAGCTCTGGGGACAAGCCATGGTATAAGAAAGAGTAAGAGAGAGTATTGACTATTGGAGACAGTTGCAACTTACAGGTTGCTCGATCAGTAGGAATAGGAAATTGATTTGAACTCAACGTACTGTACCTCTCCCAGCGTGAAGTAGGTCTAGCCCGCTTGAACTGTCCTTCCGCTGCTCGGAACTCGGACTACGTAATTTTGTCCGGTCTCGGCAGGTAAAGAAATTCATAATCTCGTCAGGCATCCCCAGAGATGCAGAAATTAAGATTGTGGAACCCATGTTCAAATTGCGTCCTACAGTCCATTTCTCGATCTTTGGATCCTTTAGAACTACGATGCGAAGCCTGCCAATATACCGCATTCACCATGTTTACGGCTGGAATAACCGTAAAAGTCTGGTCAATGAACACCGACGCAGTAAGCAGCTAGCGCCGGAACCCCACTGCCCGCCGCGGAACCTCTCCGGGCGGTCGATTTGTAATGAATGAGATCAGTCCGATGAACCCTTGCCAAGCTCCTTGTTCCTCTATTCCCCTCATGCTTACTCTTACCCCTCTCACTTGAGTTAACTTACATAAAACCACTTATCCCCGAACAAACTCTCCTCAAATCCCACCATCGGTCGCAGAGATCGCAACATCGAAGTCACCATGCCCGAAAAGCTCATCCTGTTCGATATTCCCGATCGGAACGGGGCCTGTTGGTCTTTGAATCCTTGGAAGAGTGGGTAGCCTCACTCAACCAGGGTAAACGCTGGACATTTCGACTGACGTAATTCTGCATACAGCTCGACTGACCCTCAACTACAAGGGCATTGACTACAAGACGGAATGGCTCGAGTATCCCGATATCGAACCTAGGCTCAAGCCAACCGGCTTGGAAGGTGACCCGGACCAGATCAAGCCTTACACGTGTCCCACTGTGCAGTTCCCTGATGGTACATACATTATGAACAGCGCCAAGATCATCAAGCGCATTGAAGCGGACTACCCTGAGCCGCCGCTCTACATCGATTCGGAGGTGCTCCAGCCAATGTACGATCTTCTGAGCAAGACTTTCGGAGCTCTTGTTGCTGTCCTTTTGCCCAATGTCCCCCGTAAAATGTTGGGCGAGTATAGCGCGGAGTACTTTCATCGAACTAGGGCGGAGATGTTTGGGGTCTCACTGGATGAGCTTGAGAAGACCAAGGGAGGGGATGAAGCCTGGGCGACTGCCAAAGAGCCACTGGAGGGCCTCGCGAAGCTTCTGGACAAGACCGATGGCCCGTACTTCCTCGGTGACAAGGGTATGCATGCACTCTCGATTTTTCCACTGGGAATCCATCGACACGACCGCTAACGATACCCAATCCAGTGTCTTACACGGACTTCGTTTTTGTTGGATTTCTGTACTTTGTCAAGAGAGCTGGAGAGGAACATTATCAACGTGTTGTGCAACATTGCGAGTCTTTTGACAAGATTTATCAGGCTTGCGAGAAGTGGTTGGAGCGCAACGACCATTGATCGAAATTGGACAAGTTCCCTCGTGCAGAGGTGACAGGGCTGGAGTTCTGAGTTGGGTTCTCTGATGTAATATCTGCTTCAAACAAATGAAAGTTGTCTAGTACCGCTCTATGTGCATGATGTGGTGCCGGAATTCAACATACAATACTGTGAGAAACGCATCTCGTTCAGGCTACCGAGGGATCGCAAAATGAGACTTCATCGTCTCTCAAGCATGATATTGGCCTCATCAGGCCAAGTGTAACTATTGACCCGGCCAACATCGCGAACCAACCTCCCAGGGTGAATCCAAAGATACATCGCCATAATCGCGACCATGGGAACGGCATCAAAGAGGTATAAAAAGATCTCATGGCTCATGATGTACCCATTCTCGCCCTGAAAATACTCAATTCCCCTGATCAAACTTCTCAGAAACATGAGAGAGGCAATGCCGTACGTCATCAGGTAGTACTTCCTCCACTCGATTCCCGCTTTTGTCGCGTTCAAGTCGTTTGCCTCGCGTCGAGCACAGGCGTGAGAGTGCCAGCAAGAAAGCACAAATAGGGTGATAACGCCGAGTTGGGCCGCAAGACCGGACATGATCAGAGTCTTACCCATCCTGATGCCCTCTTCCGTACCAGAGGCTGGCATGACGGCGCCAAAGATCTGAGTAACAAAACAGCCGACGTCAATGAGGACGTAGAAGAGGGCCGTGAGACGTGGGCTCACGAAAGCGTGGCGCCGGAGGTCGAGAGCGATCATGATGCGGCCGAGACTCATGTAAATCGTTGCGGCGAAAAGCGGCGGAGATCCAAGAATCAAGAGATTTTGTAAGATGTAGGGCCCAGCCACAATGGGGTTCTCGTGAGCTTTTGCACGTCCGTAGTATCCAAACGCTTCTCCTATTATTCCTGGATTAGTCACGGCAGGTACTAGGGCATAGAGTTTCGTAGTACGTGCAAGACCTACCAATGCCACCTAATATAAAAGGTATGAAATGCCATGCTCTGAGCCAGAACATGTTGCCAAGATGAGCCAGTGCACCGAGCGCAAAAATGACGAGGAACGCCCATCCTGCCCCTCCATTCGGACGGTAATGATAGAACACGATTTGTGTTCCGTTAACAACGGGTCCGAAGGGGCCAGGTCCGTCGAGCTCGTTCACCATTGTCTGAAAGCCTTTCGTCGTGATGCTAATCTATATGCCGAGGGTCTTGGTCGTTATTAGTTAGAGAGCGTGGGAATAGGGCGAATTGCCAACGTAAGCAGACAATAGAAAAATACAAGACCGGTTCAATCACATACAATGCTGATGTTACAATTACATACAAGGCGAGAGAAAAGTTAATGAGGGCTATTTATCTCTTCTAACATTTACAGACCATAGCTCGAGAGTAGACGTAAGGGTTCAGGGGCGATCCACAGTGGCAGTGCGAAGCGCATAGCAATACGATTTTTGAACGCGATTATTCGTATCAAATACGACGGTTAACCACCATGTGGGGGTCCCGCCAGAAACAAGGACAGCCTGGCTCCTGAACGGCACGCCCGAAATTTTGTGATTGTTCGTCTATCAATAGAGCTGGCGATCGAAGCTGCACTAGGCTTGTGCAGTTTTATGTTCACACTTTCAGCTAGACGAGTCCTATGATCTGAATTCAGCAACATTTTACTATTACTTCATGTCCACTCCCCATGTGATGATGTGCTGCTATCATCAGGCAGTGATCCGATATGACGAAGTCCTTAATTCAAACTGTTTGAAGAATTTGCATCAACTGAGAGCCCAGTTAAACAAATGCTCCTCAGTGAATGCTTCAAAACAACTGTAGTAGGACCAGGCATCATCATATGAAGCGGGCGGGATTGATTGGAATTCTGTCGGCATCATATAATCCAAGTCCTTGGCAAATGTTAAGGTTCGCTGAGAAATATTCGGAAAGGAAAAACGTACTCCGCATTCATGTTCTTGGCTTTGTTGTTGCATTCCTTGGGTCGAGCCTCAGCTGTTGAGGGGCTCCGTCTGAAACCAACGTCACAGATGTTGATGTTGGCCGTGCACACATCACCAACGAGCTCATCAATTTAGCTGCAGCAGTTCATCACGGTACAGGTCTAACGCCAAGGCCCCGCTCACGATATCAAGCGTCAAATCATCGTCAAAGTAGTCAAAGGGTATTCTACGATCTAAGCCGCGATGGCATCTCATGCGCCACTCAAATTCAAAGGGATACGGCCCGGCCAAGGGGTCAAGCCAGGAACCACTCTCCGGATCCTTGGGGTTGGCGACTCCATCACAGTGGGGTTTCTCAGTGACATAGAGGGAGGCGATGGCAACGGCTACAGACTTAAGCTCCGAGAAGACCTGTCAAGTGGGTCAGTCCTCTTCTACGAATCAAGAAATACCATACTAACGAACCCACAAGAGGATAGAGTCGTTTTTGCTGGGACGGAAACCATGCACGGCACGATGCGTGAAGGGTATTATGTACGTTGAATAGTGCACTCCTGCGAATTCCTCAGTTGACGAGTCGTCCGACTCACTAGGCAGCGTGGAATGGCATGACTATCAAGTTCATGTCAGATAATATCGGACCTTCTTTGGCCCAGAGACCTAATATCGTCCTCATTCATGCTGGAACGAACGACATGAACCCGAATCCAGACGTTGCTAGAGAAGGCAGCGAACCTCACGCCACGGCAGACCGTCTAGGCCACTTGATCGACCAGGTCGTGCAGACCTGCCCAGATGCCACAGTCCTTGTCGCCAAAATCATTGGCTGCTATGATCCAGTCCAGATGGGCAATATTGCTCTATTCAACGCGGTGATTCATGATGTTGTTCAATCCCGACAAAGCGCCGGTAAACACGTTCTCACTGTCGACTTCTCGAGCTTTCCAATGAACGCACTGAGAGATGGTATTCATCCTACCAACCAGGGGTACCGCTTATTCGGCGACTATTGGTACGATTTTATCACCCAGATTCCGGGCGACTGGATTAAAGAGCCTGTTGGAGATGATCCGCGTCGATCTGGAGAATTGCGCCGCGATGCACCCGTCAAAGGAAGATCTACCAGTTTGTGCGATCGACTGTTCGGCCTGTTTTTCGGCAGGGAACCAGAGCTGGTTTCGAAAGCTTGAAGTTCAGCAGTGAGCAGCAAGGTACTTTGAACCAATAAAAGACTGGTCGGTCTACAACTCCCGTAGCTACCCCGGGTAAGCCCATATGCAAGACTCGTAGGAATCCACCGACAGCTGGCCGAAACGCTAAGAGCAATACTTCAGTCAGCAATGGATTCAGTGCAACATAGCGAGATAAGGCGACGATGTCTGCGTGTGTATCTGCTAAGCTCTGAAAATTCCGTCAATGTAATTTACACATGTAAGAATCTAGACTATTGAGCTGAAAGTCAATATCGAAGCTCTTCCGAGTCTGTAAGGGAGGCCGGGGTTTCAGCCCGCTATGCGAGAGCCGAAGCAACGTCTTCGTCCTGTGCGATGTCTCGCTAATCAATAGGTTCCCAGAGATGGTCAAGCACGGCGCATATCGGTCTCATTCAGACGCGAGCTGCTGTACCCCAGAAGGTCAAAACCGTACGGGATTCGGCCGGTAAATGGGGCAGAATGGATTGGGGCCATCCAACCTGTAAGACGAAAGCGTGTGAGCGAACCCTTGTCACCGCAGCGTAAGGTCAACGCATCCGTCCAATCCCCACGCGGGTCGGCGCCGGGGATAAGCGTCGGCATCTTCCCCCAGACTGGCAAAAGACGGTTACACCCTCAACGCCTTTAGGCTAAATTGCTATTGCCGGCTTTGATGATTTGATCGTGCTAAGAGCCTAGGATTTGTCGTCTCATGGCCATTCTCACGCGGGGTATCGTGCAGGGTGTCCAGGCTCGGCGTATTTTCACATTCGACCGAGAGCTGTTTTATACGACAGGCAATCAAGCTCAACGAGACTATGGCTTTCACTGCCGAGAGTTTTGGTATTTGCGTTGGTTTGCGCTCCTACTGGTGGTAGCATGGGCTACCTGCCTGAAAACCCGCTATGAAGGAACGAGAAAGATCATCGTATCAGATGCTGCAATGCTCACACCCTGCAGCTTTGCCTCCGTGTTCCCTCACAGAACAATAAAGAGGCGACAGTCCCATCGAACCACAGATCCAGCTCTAACACTCCAATTGACTGCAACCTAAGACGTTCACTTTTCTCAGCGACAACGTGGGTAGAACGGCATCAACCCCAAATTTTTGTGCCTCATCACGTGCAAGAAGAAAAGCATACCGGCGATCATGGGAGGCCACTCATCTGGCAATGCGGCTTATGATGCCGCGCTACAAAGACGTCAGGCATTGATGGGAGCTAGTGGTGCAAGGGCTCTTGTCAAGAATTGGAAAGTCGCCCGCATCGCTGCCTTCGCCTGCATTGGCGGTGTCTTGTACGGCTATAACCAGGTGAGGAAACTCTGTCAATTGGGTTTTGGAATCATAGAAACGTGGTAGATATGAGTTACTTACCCACGATTAGGGCATGTTCTCCGGTATTCTCGCTATGCCGTCGTTCGACAAGCGTAAGATCTCCCGACCCTTTCCTCCCAGATGTGTTCGCAATCATTGAGGATTTAGACCAGCTTACACATGCTTTCCGCTCAGATATGGACGGATACACAAAGAACCCAACCCAAAAAGGCTGGCTGACATCAATTCTCGAGCTTGGCGCTTGGGTCGGTGCTATCTTATCCGGCTTCATCGCTGAAGTTTGCTCCCGTAAATACGGTGTGCTCATTGCGACTGGTGTTTTCATGCTCGGTGTTATTGTCCAAATTTCTTCTATATCTGGTGGCCACGAGGCAATTCTTGGAGGAAGATTTGTCACGTAAGTAATTTTCTGCTGACCTTCGTTACCGACGGGACGAGCAGCGCTGACGTGAAGAACAGCGGTATGGGTGTCGGAAGTCTTTCTATGATTGTCCCACTTTACAATTCAGAATGCGCACCACCGTAAGTGAAATACACTATCATGTTGTTTCTCCTGAGCTTGTCTGACGTAAGCTTTCCAACAGTGAGGTTCGAGGTGCTCTTGTAGCTCTACAGCAGCTGGCCATCACTTTTGGCATCATGATCAGCTTTTGGATTGTAAGCCCATGCCCTTTCGAACTCATCATCTCCGTCAATATATCTAACCAGTAGCAGGACTAGTATGCCCCTCACTTGATTTGAAATCTTATGTTCATTCTGCGAACGTTCTGACCGACATGACCTTTCACAGCGGGTGCAACTACATCGGCGGCACCACCGAAGACACACAGTCAGATGCCGCATGGCTTGTTCCGATCTGCCTGCAATTGGGTCCCGCTATCATCCTCTTTGTGGGAATGATCTGGATGCCATTCTCCCCGCGTTGGCTCATTCATCACGGTCGGGAGCAGGAAGCCAGGAAGATCCTCGCTGATCTCCGAGACCTCCCTGAGAACCACGAGCTCATCGAGTTGGAGTTCCTCGAGATCAAAGCTCAGTCGCTATTCGAGAAACGAAGCACAGCCGAGCTCTTCCCCCATCTGAAGGAGCAGACCGCTTGGAACATTTTCAAATTGCAGTTCGTCGCCATCAAGGCTCTTTTCCAGACCAAGGCCATGTTTAAGCGAGTAATCGTCGCAACTGTGACTATGGTGAGTCCGACCATGTGCACAATCCTCATTTCACATCAGCTCAGAAAGGAAGGATCTCTGACAAATTCCAGTTTTTTCAACAATGGACAGGTATCAACGCTGTAGGTCCTACTAACGAGATCTTGTTTGCGACAATTTTAGTTGACAGAACAACCAGGTCCTCTACTATGCTCCTCAGATCTTCAGTCAATTGGGTCTGAGTCAAACAACCACAAGCTTGCTTGCCACCGGTGTCGTTGGTGTGGTCATGTTCATTGCAACCATTCCTGCCGTGCTATGGATTGATCGCGTCGGCCGAAAGCCTGTCCTCAGCATTGGTGCTATCGGCATGGGGACCTGCCATCTCATCATTGCTGTCATTCTTGCCAAGAACATCGATAGATTTGATCAGCAACCAGCTGCTGGGTACGTTGTCTACCATCAGTTGACATTAGGTGGATAGGTGTACTGACTAATGTACTTTAGTTGGGCCGCGGTGTGTATGGTTTGGCTGTTTGTGGTCCACTTTGGATGTGAGTCCTTCTACACCTTCTGCTAGAAGAGAATACTAATCAACAAATTCTAGACTCTTGGGGTCCTTGTGCATGGATTATCATCGCTGAAGTTTGGCCTCTGAGCACTCGGCCATATGGCGTATCTCTCGGAGCTTCCAGCAACTGGATGTGAGTTTGAGATCACGACCCAAAGCAGGCAAACCCACCAGGCGCTGACAATATCTAGGAACAATTTCATTGTTGGACAAGTGACCCCAGACATGCTGACAAGCATCAACTATGGCACATACATCTTGTTCGGCCTATTGACCTACCTTGGCGCCGCATTCATCTGGTTCATAGTCCCGGAGACGAAGCGTCTTTCTTTGGAAGAAATGGTATGTCTACATCACAAACTACCCTTTTCGCCTCGGAACTACCAATCTCTTGGACAACAATCGACATTAGCTGACCTTGAACGTAGGACCTGGTGTTTGGCTCTGAAGGCACCGCTGCTGCGGATTTCGAGAGGATGGAAGAGATCAACAACGAAATCGGCTTGAGTGCAGTGCTGAACCGCGCCTCGCCTGGTGGAGGATTCTCCAAGTCATCCGACTTGGAGAAAAAGGAACTTGATGCTGCTTCGGCCGAGCAACACTGAAAGAATCATGCGCTATCTGGTCGAGGGACTATATCTACAATCAAGTCTACCAACGAACTCAGGGAAAGTTGGTATACTCCAATGCGGCCTCATTGTTCCACGCAAATTCAAGTCTGGTGTAATCTTGGGAGGAGGGGAACTGATTGCAGAGTAAAGTCAATCATGCTATGCGAAACTTTCTCATAGATGAAACAAATCTACATCAATTCAATTCCATAGACCCAGTTGAAAAGGACCCCGCATGACATGCTGTGAATCGGACATACATGTCAGCCTCGAAATCTGCCTTGATGAGACCCGGTCTAGTGGTATGCAGTCAAGGGCTAGTGCTTATCCATCTGCACATTTTCGTGGGGTACAACCTCCCCATCAAGAATAATTGGCTGGCCATCTCCGAATGTCTGCATGTTCTGCCTGGATAGCGTCTCACAGCCCTACAACTTGAGAAAGTTTGGCGGCCAGTCGAGTCAACGCTGACAGGCAACAGCCGGTTTGAGGTGACACGGAGATGGCCTCTGGAGGTTTTGGTGTATTTTATCTTGCCCCATCTCGGCACTTCCAGCGAGTCAACTATGTCCTCGTTGACCCTCGTCATTTTCAGTGCGTCTACTCTTCAGATACCGAGACTTCAGACCTTTGTTAAATCCATTGCAGCATCATTCGTCGAGTCAGGATGTCTGCTGAGTCTATTATTAACGAGGCGTTGAAGGGTGATGAGGACTTCTCGGTCATCGAACGCTTAGCTGATGCTATTCGCATCGAGGAAGACGTTCAAATCAGCCAGGAGGACCGCAAGGAGATCATACAAGATCTCTACGAGGGCCCGAAGAAATGCCAATGTTGCATCAACTGGATGGACGAATGTCCTCACGGCGTTGATCTAACGGAAGTCGATAAAGACGATGAGGATGAAAGCGGCAGCCCCCTGGTCATCCGACGTCGAGTGAATGCCGGCCGTACTGGCACAATCATTTCCATTCACTCAATCGAGATTCGACATGCGGCCACTCGAAAAGTTTTGATCGACGTCTTCAAGCCTTACGACAACATCGTGCAACGAGTGAAATATCTCACATTTTTGGCACCCTTCCACCAGTTCTTCTGGCGCTGGGAGCGCTTCGAGAAAGCTGTCGCAGAGGAGAAGGACGAAATCGTGAAGAAGATCTTGGCCATTCTGAGGGGATTGGTCAAGCGTGAACTAGCAGGGGCATTTGCAGTCAACAAGGAACTCGTCAGCCACGGAGTCATCACATTCAACTACCTCTGGATCTTGTTCGCGCCCGGAGAGCTGATATACTCGGCTGATGATAGTCACGACCGCTTCTACGTCCTTCGGT